TCTCTGTGCTGGGCAATGGCTCTCCCAGCAGGCAGGCATCTTTAGTGCTGGAGTCCCCACAGAAGATGCCTTCACCACTAGGTGGAGATGGAGCAGCACTGCAAGTGGGCACAAGGCACGCAGAGCCTTCCAGAGCAAGGGCGTGCAGACTTGAAAAATAAGTGAGGTGAAACACATATCATTAGCCATTGTCGAGTGACACTATGGTGGCAGGTTGTACATTCACAGTGTTGTATAGCCACCACTTCCCTCTCATCCCAACATATTTCCACCATTCAAGTAAAACCCTTAACCAGGAGACTGTCCCCCACCACTGCCTCCCTGTGGCCCCTGACTTCTTTCTGTCGATTTCTTTTTCTGGATATTTCTTTTTTTTTTTTTTTAATATTTTTAGTTGTTGATGAACTTTATTTTATTCATTTATTTATATGAGGGGCTGAGAATCAAACCCAGTGTCTCACACATGTGAGGCAAGTGCGCTACCACCGAGCCACATAATATAACTTTAATTATATTAATAATGTTGTAAAAACCCATCCACATTAGAGCAGGTATCCTAACAGCATTCCTTTATGCGGATGAATGGTATTCCGTTGGCTGAATGGTATTCCCCTGGCCGTATGAAATCAAGAAGGATGAGGAAAGGAACTAGCATTTGGTGGACATCTGTGAGCATTCGCGCACTGGTGGACATTGAGCTGTTTTCACCTTCCAACTACTGTGAATAGTTTTGCTGTGACCATGTATGTGCCTTGTTTGAATACCTGTTCTCATTTCTTTGGGGTATATACCTAGGAAAATTGTGGGGTTATTTACTAGTTCTATGTTACTTGAGGAACACCAAAGTATTTCCCGAGCAGCTGAATGATTTTTACCTTCTCACTAGCAGTGTATGAGGACATCAAACTTTTTAAATGATAACTCACAATAAGAAATACATTTTATATTGAATTGCTGCCACCCAGCATTCACATGTGTGTATATATTTATATGATGAAAGTGTCATAAACAGTATTCACCTTTACTGTGTCTGATGTACTCTAATATATTCCATTTCATTAGAAAGATACCCTGGCTTCAGCTCACCAAATTACCTCCACAACTCAAAGCAAAATGAATTTTTTAAATGGGATTAGCTATTATACCAGAGTATTATTTTAATTGTATTTAATAATATAATGAAGGGCTGGGGTTGTAACTCAGTGGTAGAGCGCTTGCCTCGCATGCATGAGGCACTGAGTTCGAGCCTTAGCACCACGTAAAAATAGATAAATAAATAAGGTAAAAATATTGTGTCCATCTACAACCAAAAATATTTAAAATAATAATATAATGATGTTTCTTTCCCTTTGGATTATAATGAATTCGAGATTTTTTTTTTGTCAATTGGAAACTGTATGTGTGTGTATGTGCTCCTTGAAGGAGTTTATTGTGTGAGGTTACCATTTTATGTATCATAGTCTCAAAGAGAAAATGGAGATCATATTCAAGTATGAGCAATACTGCATGTGCTTGATATGCTCTGAGGCTTGTAACTGGCTGGTATTCTATAATCTAGTGTCAATTTGGGGGACAAGTATCACACCTATGTTTTCCATTTATTGAATGGTTCAAGTATTTAAATATCACTTGAATATCATAGAAGTGTGAGATGCTGAAAAGCACGTGTGGACAATAGAAAAGGTGAGTGACATAAGTGAAAAAGAAGTAGAATCAAGGAAACTTGGGGCTGGAGTTGTAGCTCAGTGGTAGAGCACTCGCCCAGCGCGTGCAAGGCTCTGGGTTCGATCCTCAGCACCACATAAAAATAAGTAAATAAATAAAGGCATGTGTCCAACTACACCTTAAAAATAAATATTAAACAAAAAGAAAAGAAAAAGAAAACTTGAAGGAGAGTGGGCAAAGCTTCTCAAAGTTGCAACAGTTATTCGTGACCATCTTCAAGCATCCTGTGAAGACCGAGCTCTCTGGAAGGAGTGGTGCTTTGGGAGCAGCAGGGCATAGTAGGCAAAGCCCAAGCTCTGGAGCAGCTCCACGGGTCAGACTGAAGGACTTAGATGGGAAACTGTTACATTTCACTTCTTACTAACTCTAACTGACACTTAGTATTCTCTTCAATTACAAATCAATTACAAATATAGGCGACAAACTACAATATTATTAATAGCACCAATAAAAGCAAATATTATTTGCTACCAATAGAAGTCAGGTATTTTCATCACATTACAGGTGCTTTAGGTTTATGGAAATTTTATTTATGCTTTTAGATATTATTTTATTTAAAATTTATTATTAGACCTGATTCTGGATTATTTTATTTAAGGCACTATTAAAGAATTTGTGTGTATACAATACCACAATTTTATGTTTTTAAAAGAATTTTTTAATTATGGCTGGGTTTGTGGCTCAGTGGTACAATGCTTGCCTAGCATGTGTGAGGCACTGGGTTCAATTCTCAGCACCACATAAAAATAAATCAATAAAATAAAGGCCCATAAAGAAAGAAAATTATAATTACATTTTAAAACAATTCATTTTCTTTATAACCTGTGGATTTTATTTTATTCATGTAAATTTATTCTGAGAAGGAGCCATAGGCTTCACCAGACTGCCAAAAAGGTTCATGACACAAAAATTGTCAAGAAATTTCTAGAGCTGCACTGTTCAATAAGAGAATCACCAGCCACTGGTAGCTATTATGCCCTTAGAATGTATATAGAAGTCACCAGCCACTGATGTACATTCCAAGGACAGAATAGCTATTCGTGGCAAATGCCATAAAAACTTAGAGGTGCCGTAAAAATTGCATCAGATTTCAAATATTTAGTGCAAAAATATTAAATGTTCTACTAATGATTTTGATGTTTATTACATATTGAAATGGTAATATTTTCAGCATACTGGATTACTATTGGACCTCCATCAGTTTCAGTTTCCTCCACTGTAAGAATAAATAGGAGGCCAATGGAGAGAGTATTGCTAGTTTAACTCCAGGTTCAGCCTTTCACTGATCTATTTCTCACATAGCCGCCCCTCTCTTACCTTTCACCCAAAATTCCCAAAGAAGGCCATGTACACGGCCCTTTCTCTGACTCTTTTGCTACTCCTTGTTTTAATGAACACAGTATAAATTAGACACATGGAGAGTAACACACAAAGGTAAGGATATAAGAAATCATAGACAAAATTAATTTCTAAAAATAATTTAAAAGGATAAGAGAAAGGAAAAATTCCCCTGGAGAGCAAAGAAGGTGGAAAATAAGGCTAGAGGTAGGGTGGAGTATTTCTCCAACTGCAGTTACCACCCATCCTGTATTTATTCAGAGAGGCTGGAGTAGCATTTGGATAAGACCCAGGCAAACCACCAGCACATTCCTGGAGTTGGTGAATGGCCACTTACAGAGCAGGACACCCTGGGCATGTCCCTAAATCAAAAACTGAAAGTCCAGCAAGCTGGTACAATGACCAGGGAGGTACCAGTGTGTTTCTTAGGAAGGAGGACTGAAGGGGGTTCACCCGCCATCTTATTTTCTCACTCATGCATTAATGAAGCCCTGAGCATCTCTGATGCCAGCACTCTGGGAATACAGAGCGCTTCCATCCACAGAATCTCCTTTGAGATCATGGAACAGTATTAGGTAGAGGGCAGGTAGGATAGTATCACATACACCCTATGAATGAGAAAGGAATAGGTCAGACACATAGGTGGAAAACTGGTCAGTACCTGGTGGAGCAGGCCTGGCCTGACCAGAAGCTTGAATTTCTCTATGGCCAACACCACGGGTCAGAATCATGACCCTCCAACTCCATTTCTCAGAGTGACCTCTCCCAGCCTGACGGTCTGCAAAGCTCATTACTCTCCACCTCACTTCTGAACAGTTGGAATTGCTCTCCCCACCAGCCTGCGGAGCTGCAGCTGTCCCTCATTCCGTTTTGACAGCCTCGCCCTCCTACACAAAGCCCTGCCTGTCTGGTCAAAGTAGGGTGGTGATTTCCCACCCTTTCTAAAAACATGCCTTGCAGGACTTTCCCCATCCTGCAAAATAGTCTCCCCTTCTCAGTTACATTTTCTAATGCTTCTGAACAAGGCCTGAGGGTGGAGAAGGTAATGTGTGTGCTTCTGTATTACCCGGAGCCTTCTAAAAGGCAGGAACCAGGGGGATTGCACCAGGCAGCTCTGTGAACAGATGGCCATTTGGATGACTTTGAAGGTGAAGTCAGTGCTGCTCAGTGAGGTAGACAACTTCCTTTTTAAAGTGTTAGCTCCAAATGAAGGGATGCTGTCCATGTCTTCAGTGCCCTAGTTCTACTGTCCTTAATCCCAGTGTTAATAACCTGGCTTTGGGCTATGGTCTCTCCGTGGCCCCCAGGACATGCCAAGTGGATAGTTGCTATCAGTTTTAAGCTCATCAAAGCACTTTGCTATTGCTTCATTAATTTCATAGTAGATGACTTGGTCATTTTCATATCGATTTATCCCTTTCTAATCCCCAATTATTTTTTGGTCCCCTGACAGCTTCTCCTGCCAGTCAGCCAGTGGGTGCTCTTTCATGGATGTTCTTATTTTATCAAAACATTATTGAGAAGGTGAATCTGTTGCCAAAAATTTAAATAATGCATGCCAAAAACTTCCATAAAATAATTTATTATCGGGGTGGAGTTGTGGCTCAGTGGTAGAGCATTTGCCTAGCATGCACAAGGCACTGGGTTCGATCCTCAGCACCACATAAGTGTAAAATAAAGATACTGTGTCCACCTAAAAGCTAAAAAATATTAAAATAATAATAATAATAATAATTTATTATCCAGCATTCTGCTTTAGCCAAGCCATGGTTCTTCCCTATAGTATGGGAAATCTTAGAACCTGCCCTAAGAAATCATTTTTTAAAAAAATATTTTTTTAATTGTTGATATACCTTTATTTTATTTATTTATATGTGGTGCTGAGAATCGAACAGTGCCTCACACATGCCAGGCAAGTGCGCTACCGCTGAACCACGGCCCCAGACCCCTAAGAAATAATTTGATAGTGAAAAGGAACATTTTTCATTTTGTAGAGAAATAACTTGTCTAAAATAATACCAGGGTCAAAATAAGAAGAATAAGGAGTTTCCTAATTCCCAATCCTTCAACTTTTGTTAGTAGGTAAGTGTAAACAGGCAGAAAAGGAAACATTTAAAAGAAAAGAAAAAGTTAAGTATATGTGAAATTTGTATCATGGGTATATAATAAAATTAATCAAAATTTTTAATTTCCCCCAATTTTGTGTTTTTAAAATTTCAGATTTTAGTAAGTGGTGCCTTTGAGCAAAATTGATCTGTTCCCTGTGACTTACACTGTAAATGTTTATTTTTGAGCATGAAATTGGGAACACCAATGAAATAAAAAAATAGAAATAGTGGCTGTAGCTCTATAAGGTACTTAATTTTTATCACTAACTCATAGTCACAGCTTATCACCCAATAACTTCAATTCCACCATGACAACGCTCCTTTTTTGTGTTGTTGGATTATCATTTATACAGAGAAGAACCAACAGTTTCTTAGTTCTCTGTTACATAGTAAATGTTTGGGAAAGAGTGATGATATAAGTTGATATAAACATAATTGGTTTTCATCCTGCTGAGCATTACCTATCTGTGCGTTTTTGGTAAATACTGATATGCAAAGCAATATGGTTTTTGGCTTCTTCAGAAAAGATTTAACATGTAGTCTAAGATGTTTTAACAGTTGGCTACTTACCATAGCTGGTTACATTGAACTTATTTGCATCTGCATGTAAATAACCGCTTTCATGATAAGGGGCGATGGAAAAAAATACATGTTTTCTTCTTTGCATAGACATCCATAAATACAACATTAAAGGGTTACTATGCCAGAAGTGTTCTGCAGAATTTGAGGTGAAACTTTTGTAAGTATAAAGCATATATGGACTGCAGCATCTCCTCATTTGGGCGCTAGGTTAAGAATATGCAAATATGCCAGCCCTACGTTGAGAAATTGATAGGACTAAATCAAGTAAATTTTGAAAAGATGCTAAACTAACAAGAACCTCTAATCACATAGTTTACCCCAGGCCTCAAAGTTGTCTGTGTATATGTTTAGGTTTTCTTTGCTTGACAAACCTTCAGCCATGTTGGCAGATCCACCTCACCTTGGTAGCCGGCTCTGCACAGGTGGCTATAAGTAAGGATCCCTCTGCAGAAGGATGGTCCCTCTCCCTCTTCCCTAACACGAGTGTGAGCTTCAGGGGACATCTTGTGCTGAATATTCTGGGTTCATTGGTCACTACAGATCTGGTACATAACACTTGTCACCTGCCTTGGCACTCATTTAATTTTTAAACTGTGGGATAAGCCCTAGTTCACAGACAAGGAAACTGAGGCCACAGTCATTCAACAACTCTTCCAACACAGCTCCTGTGCCATAAAGGAGGGATCAACTCTAGGATACAGTGTCACTCCCCTTCTAACTGATCGTCTTTGAATATCGGTTCCTGAGGTCACAATTCAGTTGTCTGGAATACAGTTTAGGAAGATGCCCTTTCTTTATTTCCCAGGTTGGAAGCCTGGGATAGCTGACACCACAGTTCCGTTTTATTCTGTGGATCTTCCAGTGCCAGTTAGAGAGGTTCCCAGCAGGTGAGCCTTTCGGTACAGATTTGGCCTCTGAGATCCAGCCTGGCCCAAGTCTTCAATATTAAGCACTCAATTAATGTCAGTTCCTGCCCAGGGCGACAATGGGCATCTGGAGGGACCTTCTGTACACAGAGCAGAGAGTGGTGTGGTTTCCTGGCTTTCTTTCCCCTTGCTCCCCGCTGTAATGTTCTGCGTTCTGTGTCTTTTATTGTTGTCTGCTTGTATCCTTCAAGGGCTTCCCCTTGCACTGGATGATCACTCGGCTCCTCTGTCTTGGTGCCTTATAAAATTCCTTTGCAGAGGAGCTGAGTAGCAAAGGAAACTAAAAAAAAAAAAAAAAAGGTTCTGCTGCTATTTTGTTTTGAATGAAAAACATTTCAGGAAACATGATTTTCCTTGTTTATGTCTAAATCTAGGCTACAAGCTCTGAAATTCTGTTGCATTCAAGAAAATTTAATGTATTTGTCAATCCATTGAAAAAATTATTTGTAGTGGATAGCAATGGAGTAAATGTTTTCCAAACTTATGGAATCTAACTTTGTGAAGACTTGTGTCTGTGGGTTGGGTTTTTAAAGGAAACAATTATTACCTTTTATGCTTATGACGTGAACATCATGTGGCATCTTTTTTTTTCCTCTAATATTTCTTAGAATAGGATAGAACAGCCTGAATTTCTGCTCTCACACAGGTCAAAAGAAAAGCATGCTATTTATTATGACACTTTCTTCTTTAGGTGATTTCTACACCTCTTATGTATGCTACTATTTACAGTAAAATGAAATTCTTTCTCTATACCTGTCACTGTTGATCTCAGCTGCTGTCCATTTAACTCAATCTAGGAAACACTTCATTTGCTTTGGAACAGTTCTTACAATGCAATGTACAGTCGTGGTGATATAATATACTTAATACTTTTGGAATTTGAAACTGCTGATCATTTGAAACTGCTGATCAAGAACGGATAAAGCCATCTTTTTCATACACTAAGTGAGTTTCCTTTGTTTCTTCAGGTTGCTTGTGAAGCATTTCTCTTGTGCATAACACATTCTGTTCATGAATGTGCATGTCACTCTGTGACAGTAATTACACATGGGGACCCACGTGCACCCATCCATAGGGGAAGGGGGTGGACTCCAACCCTAACCCAATCAACTCCATCAGATGTTTGAAAATCATTATTAGGTAGTGTCTCTTGAGATTGGCAAGCATCCAGACTGTTAGTGTAGCTTTGTTTTTACATTTTATTTTTGAGCACCATGCATTTTAGTCTCAAAAAAAATGTTTGAATTGCTAGGAAAGTATAAATGAAATATAAATTAAAATTAATTATTCTTCTGTTGCACGTTTTCCCCCCACAGGCAGCAAATAACCTAGACAGGCATGACGAGCCTATTCATTCACTCACTCATCATGTGAGGACTGACTGTGTGCTGGGAGGAGTGTGGGGATACAAAACCCAAAGATACAGCTCTTTCAGAGGGAGAGAGAGATGGTTCTAATAGGAATCCAGGCAGGAGAAGGGCAAATGCCACTGATTGTGAGATGTAACCCAAAATACTCTCTACCGCTCACATCCCATGTGGCTACTCAGCCAGCTGGAACGTAAGGGAGCAGTTGGGCCATCTCTTCTTGAAACACCATGCTCTCCTGATTCCTCCTGCATAACTCAGAGTTCCTACCAGCTTACTGTGCTGGTCGACTTTCTGTTGCTATGATAAAATACCCAACAAATTAAAATAAAGAAGGAAAGATTAATTTTGGCTTACAATTTCAGATTTTTCAGTCTATGGCCAGCCAGCACCATCTTTGGGCCTGAGGAAAGGAAGAACATCATGACTAGGAACATGGGGCAGAGAAGGATGTTGGCTGGGAAGAAGGGGCAAGGACAAAATATGCCCTTCAAAGGCACCCGACTAGTGACACCTGTGTCCTTCAGCCAGGTCCCACCTCCTAAAGTTTCCAGAATCTTCCAGTAGTCCCTTAAACTGTGAACCTATCAATGGATTCATGCATTGATGAGATCAGAACCTCATAATCCATTCACTTCCCCAAATGCATTGGGGAACTAGCCCTCAACACATGAGTCTTTGGGCAACATTTCAGATCCAAACCATAACACCCCCATGGTGTCTTGATCACCAAATAGACACCCTTCCCTCTGGATTGAGTACTGGGATGATGCAGCCCCATGTCCGGGTAGACTGAGCCCATTACCAGCCCTTGACAACATGGAGAATAGATTTCAGACAAGATTTCCATCTGCGGTTGCCTCCCTTCAACTCCAGGTCAGGACACAACCTGTAAGATAAATATGAAAAATAATAACATTCTTCCCTAGTTTCCTTCAGGGGACTACAGTAATTCCTTACCCAGGCAAAAGCTGGGCAGTAAGAAAATGAGTAATCTGGGAGAGAGAGCTGGCAGGACTTCACATCTGTGATGAGAAGAGTGGTAAAGAAGTTGATTCTCATGTTGCTTGTGATTTGAAAATAATAAATATTAATGATGATGATGATGATGATGATGATATTAAAGTTAGGGGCTGGGGTTGTGGCTCAGCGGTAGAGCGCTTGCCTAGCACTTGCGAGACCTTGGGTTCGATCCTCAGCACCATATAAAAAATAAAATAAAATAAAGGTATTGTGTCCATCTACAACTAAAAAATAAATATTAAAAATAAATAAATAAAAACTAAAGTTAGGATAACTGGTTCTAAAAATGGCTAGACCTAAATTTTAACAGGTATATGACTTTGATCTTATTTTTTGCCCCTTTAAGCCTCAATTATCTCATCTGTAAAATAGGCTAGCAAGAGTGCTTATCTCATAGGTTTGAAGTAAGGATTAAATATAATTTTGAAGTGTGTATTTCAGCACAGTATTAAAGTTCAATAAGTATAGATGGTCTCATTAATCACTATCATGGGTCTCAGGCTACTTTCTTTTTTCCAGTCTTCAATACCATTTCCTGGGACCTTTGGCTTTTCCTATACTACTGTTATCTTTCTCTTAGTCCTGATGTCTACCCCTAATTTCTTGCTTAAAGACTCATGTATAGTTTCCCAAGACTTTAAAGGAAGAATCCCCTCATTTTGTATAGGTATGAAATCTAAGGTACCTCGAGATCATCTTAAATGAAAACTGAAATCAAGAAGAAAGCCAGGGACAGGTTTGGATTTTATTATTGTATTTCAAAGTACCTTTGTCCGGGTGCCTCCTCTATCTCTATTTTTTTATAAGTCCCCCCCCACCCCAGAGATAAAGAGAGAAAGAGAAAGAGGAGACAAAAGGGTAAATGTTTTATCCCAGCTTGCAGCAGGTGTCATTCTATTTGATTTGCAGGCCTTTCAGCAAAACAAAAGGCCCTTTTTGTTCTCGTACAATATATGTTCTCTTTAAAGGAATTCAAATTAGAAAAAGAAAATAGCATGCACTGGACAGACTAGAGTTTTAACAGATAGAAATGGGACTCTTAGTTGCTGATTCACTCTTCATAGGGAAAATTAGAGGCCATATAACACATTCATTTCTAAATAGCATTTAAATTTTTATGATAGTTTCCTTTGAAATATATATGAGTGGCATCCTCAGGAAGTTAGTACATTTATAGTACAACTGAAAACTTTTCTAAAAAGCCAGAGAATAAACATTCAGAGAATCTCTATATATTTGAGTACCAATATAGAAGAACATGTTTGCCTATTACAGCTGATTTTAAGTGTCTCCAACCTGCTGTCTCTAAATAGTTCCTATTGATGTTCAAAAGTAATATGCCTTCTCAGTCACATAAACAGTAAAAATAAATAAATAGATAGATAATCTAAGTTAAAAACAGTTCTGGAGTCATTCAGAGTTCATAATATTAATGAATAAAAATAATAAAATGTGGGGCTGGGGATGTGGCTCAAGCGGTAGTGCGCTCGCCTGGCATGCGTGCGGCCCAGGTTCGATCCTCAGCACCACATACAAACAAAGATGTTGTGTTCGCCGATAACTAAAAAATAAATATTAAAAAAATTTCTCTATCTCTCTTTAAAAAATAATAATAATAAAATGTGATTGTTTACTATGTACAGTATTCTATACTGAGTACTTTTCATACATAATGTCATTTACTCATCCAAAGTAGGTACAATTATCCCCATTTTATAATTGAGCAAAGTAAGGGTTAGGGAGGTTAAGATTTTGCCTTAGGTCTCATGGCTAGTAAAGGCTGGTGCCAGGTAGGAGCTGGGGCCCTGCTTTGAGAACGTGTCCATCATTCATTCCAAAGTATCCTGTGATGTCCCTGTTATTCATTGCCATCTAAGGTGGGAGAGGCCCCAGATCAGTGGACACAGGTATTACATTTGCTATCAGATATAATAGTTATTTTGAAGTAAAACCTTTGGGTCCTATTTTACCTAGACTCTATACATTAAAGTATACATAATAAGAGAAAATCAGCGCTTCAATTTTAGTTTGCATATGAGTTAAAAAAGAAGTCACTCTGATGAGAGATTTCATGAGAATAAAAGGCTGTGAGTGGAGTTAAGAATCTGAGTGGTTGAGTGCTTGCCTTTGTCTAAGTGCAAAGTTTGAAAAGCTCATTATATCCATAAGGTAGGACATTTCAGGACACAGTTTTAAAAATGCCATTTAGTGTTGAATTTTTTAAAGTCTTTGTCTTAAATCTTTCCCTTCCATTTCCCAAATGAACTGTTAATCTAGGAAGTCCAATTTGTTTGTTGATGGGAGGGGGTTGCCCGACATTTGTTGTGTTAAATAATGATCACGTAATTTATTAATTCTGTTTGAAAACATTAATCACAAATGTACAGGGGAGGGAGAAGTATCCCATGGCTTATGAGATGGTTGGCCAAATCTCACCAGCTCAAATATAGCCTGTCATTATTAAAATACAATACTGGTATTTAATCTCCTAGTCAAGCTAAATGATAATGTGAAACAAAGCTAACCCATATCAGGACATCTGATATCAAGAATTCATGAAGTAAAATGCCATCGAACAGCAAGGAATCTAATGCTTTTGTTTCTTATCTTTTGAATACAAATAAAATGAGCTTTATTGGGCTCAGTAGTTCTCAGAAATGAAAGGTTAGAGATAAACAGATCTTTGGTGGGATCTGCATGCAGCATTCTCTAAACAAGCAGAGTAAGCAGCTTGTACTGCCTTGTCCCTTTGGGGTGCACACGTGGGGCTCCGGTGCCTCTCAAAAATACTGCATTTCTGGGGGGTGGAGAGAAACACAAAATGCAGATTACACTGTGCCCATGAAAGAAAGGGAAGAAAAGCCCAGGCTGAGGTGTTTTTATCAAGCCTCTGTGCTGCAAGGAGGCTGCCCGGATGGGGTTTTTTCAAACGTTGCAGCAACCAGATGCAAGGGTGCAGCTTGGATTGCTGCAGCGGGCTGCAGTTGTGTATGTTTCAGGGACTGACACAAGGGGAAGCAGCAGCCAGCGCATACCCGGGCTGCTGCCTGGAAGCCTTTCTGCCCAAAGAAGAGCCACAGCAGCTGGGAAATTCCTCCTCCTCCAGCTGAGGCGGAGGCTGAACGGTGGCTCAGGTTGAGGCAGGGGCAGGGGCGGCGCTCCCAGCCCATGCCTCAGCCCCGGGGCTGCTGTGTGGGCAGGGAGGCCTCCTGCCTCGTGTCGGGGAGGCCGGCCAAGAAACTCTCCCTCCCCAGAGAAAGCGGATCCCAGTTCAGGTGGGGACTTCCTGGGTACCGTACCTGGCTGGAGCAGAGCCTGCGGGCGGGCGGCCGGCAGCAGGCATTTCTGGTTACGGCAGCCCAGAAATGAAAGCAGCAGCGGCCACCGCCTCTGAGGGCTGCAGGGAGATCGCACCCAGCAAATAAGAAGCAAGTCCTGGCCCCGGAGGAGGAGGAGCGGCTGAGCATCTCTCTCCCGCTCCTCCGCGTCCTTTAAATGAGGACTCCCTACCCGAGCAGGAGGTGGATCTGCAGAGCCTCCCTCTCGGCGCCTGACCCCTCGCTTACATCACTAACCTGTGACAGGCACATCTCCACCCCGGTACCTGCTCCTCCAGCGGCTCCCAGTCCTAGGAGCCTCTTTGTATGCTGCAGACATGGCCAGCCAGCAGGATTCGGGCTTCTTTGAGATCAGTATCAAATATTTACTGAAATCCTGGAGTAATAGTGAGTAATAGAAAATAACCTGTTTGTTTGTTTGTTTGTTTGCTGGATGTTGCGTAAGGTTCGAGAAATAATCAGATCTCAACTGGACACATACGTTTGTGAGCCAAGGAAGTTTTTTTTTTTTTTTTGCTTCCATCTGCTATGAAAATCAAAATGTCAGAGACTGAACTAGCTTTGCTCCAGTGCAAAGGCTGCAGTGGAATGACAGTAGATTTTGTTTGCTTAAATTTTCAAGTGAGATGGCCCTTCAGACTCTGGTGAGCTCAGGACCAGGTTTTCCTGGCTGCCTCCTTTGACTGGGTGTTTATTTGATTTGTTCAGGCTTCACCTAAATATTTTTGTGAAGTGCAGTTTAATCAGAGGGGTGTGGCAGGGTTTTGGAGTACTTTGTAATTGTTTTATTAGGGTATTGTCTGAAGACACAAAAGTACTTAATAGTCCAAAACCTAAAATTCACCTTTTTTCATACATAAAGGCATCTGAAGATTTGTTTGATATCTCCCCTATCCATATGGATGATATTTCGAATGCCATTTAATATCTGCATTTTTTTTTAAAAAAAAAATCCTGATGCTTGATGTAGTTCAAATAACGTGCTTTTCTGAAATGTAAACAAGTGAAATTTTGACCCTAATCGTTCATTAGGTTATCAGAGTATTATGGCTTTTGAAGTTCCATTTCTGACCTACATAAAGATTTTAGCAATATGCTATTTCAAAAAGATAGCCTCTAAGCCACCCTGAATCTGAGATCAAATTAAAATGAGGCCTTCAGGTGATCAGTGATGTCTTATATTTTTATGAACACTTTAAAAACAAAGTCTTCTCTATTTCACCCACAGCTTTTGTGCTTGCTTTGGGTAAAAGACCAGCAGGTATTATAGATCCTTAATTGTTTTAAAATTTTTCCACTAAAAAACTTGATATTATTTTATGGACATACTAATGAACCTACCTATGCTCAAAGAGGCGGTGACTAATTATCTCCTCCACAAATGACCTGTGGCCAAGATTGTTCTTATGTAAACAAAACCTGGGCCAGAGAACCTGGGCTGTAATTGTTTTGAGAGAAGAGCCAAAGTACCTTCTGCCTGGAGGTATTCAGGGATATGCATCTCTAAATGATATCCATAGAAACCATTTTTTCCAGGTCATTTTGCACCACTGTATGCACTGTGGGGCTTGTCTGAAGCTGCTTTTCTCCAAAGTGGGGAAGCCATTTGGGAGCATTCCTTTATTCGTTATGGCCATAAATCATTTAACTTGGATTCATTATTTGTATACTTCACACTTCACACAAGGATGAACCTTTCTTTGTCTCTCTACCCTTTGATTAATGAAAAGAATTAGACATATAGGGTAGCCTACAGAGCAGTTTTCTTACTAGCAGAAGAAAACTCACTTGTGAGTTTGATACCTATGTGGTTTTTAGTCACCATTTGATTATTAGAAAGCCAGGCTCTTTTCTTCCATCAATTTTTTTGTCACTATTTTATTAGATAGAAAATGATGTTGTGCTGAAACTGAGCTCAGTGGGATTTCTTTTAAAATCTCTCCCCTTGTGTATTTGCAAGTGACTCTAGACAAAGTATACATTTTTCCATCCTTCCTAAAGCTACTCTCCCTCTCCCTCCATACACATATCAGGAAATAGAACAAAGTGTTCGTTTCCACTTTGAGAGTATCTATGACAAAATTTTTGAATTCTTCCAATTCATTCAGCAAAGATTTACTCAACACCTATTCTGTGCCAGGCTGTAGGGCTATAAAAGGTGAATAAGATACGGTCCCCGCCTTCTATCTTAATTTCTTTATTTCACAGTAGTGAAGTTGGTGAGTCTCTAGTGTTCCTTTGGGGGCAGAATGTTTTTCAGTTTATTCGAGAGGAAGAGGAAATATACTTTGAGCTTGTTACAACACTTACCTGCTTACAACCGGCATAGTTCTCATTGCTAAGTTTTACATATTTTCAGTAGCAAAGAGAGAAAGGAATTTGTCTATGTAGAAGACAAAGTAGAAAACAGAAGCCTTAGGGCTCAACCTACTCAGTGTAACCTTGGCTGAGAGGATGCACCACGGGGCAGGCAGCTAATTGTCCCTGCACACGCATGCCCAGCATCACAGGCTTGGGAGCATGGATAGTGCCCACATACCTGACTGGAGAATCAGCCCCTAATTATATGGTGGTGCTTGTTTATGAAAGTGCCACTATTAAAAAGCAATAAAACAAACTATAACTATGGCTGACTGCTTTGCTAGGCGGTAGTCAGAGGAAAGATGATTTTATCAGCATTTCCAAGTTAAGCTTTCCATTAAAAAAAAAACCATAGCACATTGTGGGGGAAAATATAATTTTCTATATCATTGTCTCTTCAAAGAATGAATAAGTTAATTAAACAAGTCATCCACTCACTGACTGGCAAGATGTATTGGCTTTTTATTCCGTGTTCATTTTGGCATTCTCCTCTCTCGGCACGTCCATTCTGTCAGGCCACCCTTTGGTTTGAGGAGTTGGGGACTTGAATGGGCTCATTGCCTGGATGCAATGTGGAACCTTTCCTGTGGAGCCTTTCCTGACCTCCCCCACCTTGGACACCTGTCCTGTTGCTTCTTCCTCACTCATATCCACACCTTCTCCAGCTGCTCAATGATGCTCACAGCTGCTGCCTTGGTGCCCATGGGCCACAGCCATCCTATGCCCTTCTCAGCTGAACCAGGAGTACTCAGTGGTCCCTAATGGTTGAAGGATGCTCTCCAGCCCCTTTCCTCTGAGTGTCAGTGGTCCCCAACCAGGGCCCTCTTTGGGCTCCTTATCCATCCTCTCTTATCCTGTTTTCCGGCTCCAGCTTCACCTGTTCATCCTCCTCTGCATGTCACTGATTTTTCTCCCAAATCCATGATTCTTTGTACGACAGCCCCCTAATCTGGCACACCCTCACCTAGATCACACTAGTGGCAGGGCCAAACAAGCTTGGCTCCGGTCTCTAGCTCTTGCATTTGTGTGGCTTTGGATAGTTAATTAAGCACTCTAATTCCACTTCATCATCAGTAAGATGGAAGCAAAAATAATGGGAACCTGATAGGAGTAAATGAGGTATTAAGATGTAAAGCTCTTAGGATAATGTCTAGTACATTGTGAGTGCTCTATAAGTATAAAAATAATATGAATGTGTTCTAATGCTCCCCTCCCTTCTAAACCTACTTAGACCATGTCTTTCATTAGTCTTGGCATACTTGGTGGATTATTTTATGAGTAGTCAACACTTGCTACACCCCTGGAGAGGGCAACTATATCGATAGATGCCAAATGTTGTTGCTTACTCTGGGCTATCTTTTTCCAGGTGTACTTTTTAACTTTATCCCTTTTTCCACTTTAGTTATTATCAGAGTATTCATACCTTTCTCCAAGTGCTTGTCTTCCAGTAGCCTGAGAGTTGGCCTCGGAATTATCTCGGTGGCTGAGACTCACCATGGCCTTTTCAGATTTGCCATAGAAAAAAAGTTCAGAGTGGGAAGTTCCAAGCTATTTCACAGGAAAGGAGAACTTGCCTTGTATTACTGCATGGAGCTGGTGTGTGGGCTCCCACACCAGTCTGACAGCTCTGAATGGCTTCCTTGTGGTTCCGTCCACCCCATGATGCCCAGAACACTGGTTCCAGTGAATGAAGGTACATTCAGAATCCCTTCAACACCTTGCTCTTTCCAGGGCAGTGCACACCCTTCCTATAACATTTGGCAAATCTTGCTAAACCATTGAGGAAAGCTATTGCATGCCCATGAGCCCTTTCAGATATTTAGAATTCTATTCACAAGTTGCCTACTGTGGGGGAACTGAATAATATCTCTGCTATAGGAAGGGGTTAGTGAGCATTGCAAAATGTACAATGTTGATCTTCAAAAAGTCGTATCCACTGAGAGATTCTCCCAGGTGTTTTGTGGTGAGTTAAATTGTGTGTGGTAGTGAATTAAATTACATTGAAAAGGGCAGTGTCCATCCAACATGGAAACGTAGGCTCATATGGGGTTAGCTCTGAGGCCAAAGAAAAATCACTGGGGAGTGCAGATGGAAAACTTCTTCTGTTGGCTGCAGAGCAGTACTTATTGGGAACTCTTCATGTGACAAGTGAACCTCAAGGGCACTATGAGAAATGCTTAAGAAAAAATTCAAAACTGTCGCTCGTTTTAACCTTTGTGTGTGTGTGGGGGGGCGGATACTGAGGATGGAGCCCAGGGCCTCACACATGCTTGACACAGGCTCTACCCCTGAGCTGCATCCCCAGCTAACTTTTATTCATTCCATAGAGGACCCAGCATTGTACAGGCACTCAGTTGGGAGTTACTGCAGTGTCCTTGTAGCTCAGTAGATGTTTGATGGTCACATACTCTTTAAGGCTCCTGGGATCACTTTGGCTAAAGTAGTTTATAGCCCTCGTGAGAAACAAATACCCAAATCAGCATCCTTGCCAAGTAGAAAGGGGTTTGTCCCTGGCTTTACAGTCCAGACAAATCAGGGGAGTTGTTTTTTTTTTTTTTTTAAATTTAAATGCACAAACTGTCCTAGAATAACAGTAACTGTCATTCTGTGTCAAGTAGGTGCACTTGGTGACTTATATATAGGGCAACCACATAATTATTCATCCAAACTGGGACACTTAAGAGTGAAAGTTAAAAATTATGATGGAACACTGGATGTCAATTGGGAGTGCCCTGGGCAAAGGGGGGGCCACTCTGTTTATTACCTTTGTTCTTTCTAGTAACCTAGTGAGG